AATCAGCCATGGTGAGATTCGAACCTAGGTCTTATGGTCAGAATCCGAACGTTCTAACCACTTGGTCACGTGCCCGTGAAAACACACACACACACACACACACACACACACACACACATATATATATATATATATATATATATATATATATATATATATATATCTTTTACATACAGATCAGACGTTTTCATTTTCATTGATATCTGTAGTGACTGGAACCGTTCGTTGTTGCTTTTTAAACCTTTTTAGGCAAGGTAGACAATAGTTAGCTTTGTACCAGTATGAAATCTGGATAAAAGCAAAAAAAAAAGAACGATAATTTTGAAAATTTAAGTTTCCTTTAGGATTCGAAACTCGATTTGTTAATTTGAACGAAGGAAAATATAATGTTAACAGGTTTGGAATGTGTGTACATGCAATTAGTCATTGGATTTTGTTCAGTTATCTAAATCTTCGGGTAACAAATACGCTCCTATCGAGAATTAACGTTAAAAGTTCTACTGGACAGTGTTGAACAAAGCTTCCTGATACCTATTTCTGAAGAAAACAAAGACAGGATAAAAAAAGAAAGGGAAGAAATAGAGAAATAATATACTGAGAACTGTTGAGAAAAGCCAGTTGATCTTACTGTGAAATTCTTAGCCGAGTAAAACCAGAATCCATACTGAGTATCGGTTAGCGGAGAGGACGAAGAACATAATATTGTAAAAAAAATATTTTCCAACAGGTGTGAATCACCCTCAACGCACTCTGCTCTTCTCCAGAAAAATGTTAATTTTTATATAAACAGCTAATAGCAGTAACCAGAAATGGATAGTTATCGAGAGAGACGTAGAGACTACAGTTTCATCGAGAAGAGAACAGAACCGCGGCTGCCTACTTCAGCTCGAACCAGAACGACTGCTGATGCTAATTTTAGGCTGTTTCTCTTGGGAATTAATTTACGATAATTCGGGAAATTTAACAATGCTTTATTCTTTTTTTCTTTCTCGTGGATCCGAAAGGGAACTCATACAAAAGAATTTAATTGTTAATATTTTTTTTTCTATTTGTTTGAAGTTTCTCCAAGCATTTTTATTAACTCATGAAGCAGAAGGAAAATGAAACTTCAGATTTTCTTTTATCATCAAATCCGGTGTTGCAACATCTGGGGAAACTTCAAACGATATTCATAGATGATCCATTAAAATTTACCACGGCGCAATCTTTTTACTTTATTAGCTCCACATTCATCAATAAAAATCCTGTTCAAAAACCCATTTCCATGTATTTTGACCAACTTATACGTTTATTTATGAGATGCTTACTTGAAGGTCATAGTTTATTCTCGTTAATATCTTCACTCAATGATCTTAAGATGCGATATCTTTTCTCTCCGTTTAAATTAGCAACACCAATCTCTTCGAATATTTTCTTGCTGATCAAATCGACTTTTCTTTCTTATTATACTTTTAATTTTTCTCAAATCTCTTCCGGTTATATTCTTAAAGCAAGATTGAATTCTTATTCTTATCCTGTATTTTTATTTATTTTTTTTTTATTCTCTGACCTTTGTTCAACTTTTCAACAGTTCACACCGTTGATAATTTTACAGTATTTGTTTCTCGTTTGAGGTTAAATTTTTCTTACGATCCATGGCAATCTTTATATTTCTAATATCAAAAACAAATATCAACAAATATTCCATCATATCCAAAGATATGAATCGAATTTAACGTCAACCGGGAACTTTTCATCTAAGAGGTGCTAACCCCAACATGTACTTGGCTCATCGAAAGTAAGCTTTGGACTCTGTGACACATCAGATCATCAAAAGAGCAAGATGTCTCAAAGGATTGACCTAGAACCCTCTAAGTGTAGAAATATGTCTCAAAAATGTCGATGGCTGAAACGAGATAAAATAGGAAATTTAACCCGCTGAACTACACACAAGATAATTGGATGACAGGAAATTATATAAACGCCCGAAACATGAGCGGGGGGGGGGAGATGATCGCAAGAAGATCGCAAGTTCGAATTGCCTGTAACAATACAAAGGATACAGCTGACATTAATTTGACAGAATCTAGAAATAAATAGACAATTATTTTACGTACTCATCGCAGACTTTAATAACATATTACATATTTATTTACAGCATCAAGCAATAGTTGCATAAAGTTCCACACAGCTAAATACTTTATTATGAATATTTCTAATAAAATGATAGAAGTTTAAATATCAATGATAAGCTAAATCTCAAATAATATAAATTGTTCATATAAATATATGCTGAAATTTTTGTCATCGTTTATATTTCTGGATAGTATATCTTCAACATTTAACGTGTATAATAATGAGTTAACCAAGAAGTGTTCCGTTTAACAATGACGATTCATATCGTGAGCAGGTAAATACGATTTTTACATACGGCCGTGCGAATGGTAATGGACGCGAGGCAGCAGGGCTATATCAGAGTGCGTTTCTATTATGGTCCAAGTTCCTTGTACCACGGTGATGGTCAAAGGTTAGAACCAATGAAAGAATAACACGAACACAGGTATGGAACAGAAATATAATACAAAGAAGTAGAAGTATTAGTAATGACTATCAGATTTGGTTAGAGTGAACTATGTTGTCTCGACAAGTATCACTATTCCAATGTCCTTACAATATGCTCTCAATTATCTCTCCTCGTCTTACAATCTCCTCATACCTCTTGAGAGGCGCAGTATTTATAATGTCAGGAATAGTCCATTATTATTATGGGTAAGTTCCCATAACAGTTTCCAGATCGAAGCCATCCAAGTTTGCAGATGTTTATCATCGTGTTGCTGAGACAGGATTCGTGACACCACAAACTATGGATAGAGGAAGAACAAGATCCGCTCGTACGTCTGACCACGAAGAACATATACTAAAGGCTATCGGTGACGATCCAAGCATCATCATACGTCAAATAGTCCTAGCATGTCACACATCTCATAGTAGGCGGATCGGAATCCCCATGGTATAATGCAGACTAGACACCAACATCAGTTTACGATTAATGTGATTTGTAGGTGAATGCCAGGTAGGTCCATATGTTCTTCCAGCACGTCTTACAAGAGCTGTCTACAGGAACGTTTTTTCGAACTCACTTTCAGACCTTCTAGAGGATGTGCCCCTGCTAATACGAAGACATGTAGTTAGTGCATGATGGGGTTGCAGCAGAGTTTAGTCACACTATATCGATAGTTAGGGGTTGACCGGTTCAATGGCCTGCAGGTTTCCCTGACCTTTGTATTTTCATCTGTAGGACCACCTAAAAAAATTGGTTTATGCAGCAGACATTAATAATGCAGAGACGCTTCGTCAACTTCTCATGAGAAACCATTCGACATCGTGTTGGAGCATTTTTGGATTGTATCTTGGATTGTACATTTAACAGCGTCTACTGTAAACTTTAAACATAACTCAAAAACTTAGGATTTGCGGACATATGATTTTATGGACTTGTGTCCTTGTTTGATGAGTGAGGAATCCGCAACGAAAGTTTGTGTAAATATATATATATATATATATATATATATATATATATATATATATATATATATATATATATATATCGATGATCAAGCTGAATAGTGCCTTATAAAAAGTATTTATAAAGCAAGTCGGTTCTAAAGAACCACGGTTTCTCCTGCCGAGGGAAACTCAGGTTTGAATCCTTATTTTTCTTAAAATTTCTCGAATATTCAAGCCATCAGATGAAAATAAATATACTGTTTAATAAATAAACAAGCGTCTACTAAAATATGTGTATCAATAAAAACAACGTTTAAATACTAATGATAATATATATATATATATATATATATATATTATTATTATTATTATTATTTAAACGTTGTTTTTAGTGTTACATATTTAATATATATATATATATATATATATATATATATATATATATATATATATATATATATATATATATACAGACTGACGCCATCAATTTAACAATTATTAGCCTGAAGAAGTTCTTTTTTTAGAAGCGAAGCGCCTCACGTAAGAGATTTTTTTTCATTTTTTCATTCAATAATACACACTAGATATTCGTCCAAAAATATTCTTCCCAGAATCTGAAGATCTCATTGTTATTGGTGTTCATAGAAGTACAAAAGAAAGGCATTTATTAAAGATGTTCAAATTTGGCAATCTGTAAATAAAAGAAACCCATGTTTTGAGAATCATATTGAGAATGTCTTAGTCAACGTAATGAAATTATATATGCAGCCAAAGGTACATAATAAGAAAGAAGTCTTCTGAAAAAAAAACAATGAAAATGAACTAAGGTATAGAAAAATATCGAAAGAAAATAAATCTGAATTGATATATAATATATTATCTCCAATATAGCGTGAATGCTGGAGTATTTGCTCAAAGACGAGAAAGCTTGAAGTAGCAGTGTTATTATTTTGCATACGAATGTTAAGAATATCATGGACAGAATATATGGAGCAATGGTGAAGGCTTAAGGAAAATAGGGACAACAAAACGAGAAAAGTCACTCATAATGAGGAAAGGGACGTAGAAAATATAACACTCACGAGACATATTGAAAGCAAGGGGAAACAATGAGTAACCCCCTTAACGAATTGTGTGAAAGGATTACAGAACAAAGACAAAGTGGTATTGTGAAGAGGCGAAAAGATGTTTCGAGCAAAATAGGCTGGGAGTTGTGGAGATCTATGATCATCTATGATAAATTAGGTAAATAAAAGACAATGGCTAGTATAGTTATGCACTAATCATTGGTGCTTGTGTTTGATTTTACTGTGCTCCTGACATAATTCCAAATACTGATTCTCCAGACAGGTTGATATACTCTGAGCATTTGACGCAATACATTCGTCCTCTTCCAATTTTATTAAACTCGACCTTGTGTTGAACTAAGCAATGTTTATTTAATATGAATTGATAGCAAATAAGAAAGAAACTAGTGAAGAAATTGAAGAAGTGAGAAGTTTAGAATTCAGAACAAAAAGAATATAGAAAAGGAAGTGAAATAATAAAAGAGATACACAAAGCAAGGGAAAATAGGTAAATAAGTAAAATGGCGGGAGGAGGAGGAGGAAGAAGAAGAAGAAGAAGAAGAAGAAGAAGAAGAAGAAGAAGAAGAAGGCGAAGGCTAAAAAAAACCCTTAAAAAGGCAAACCAGCGCTAAGGAAATTTAGAAAAAAAAAAAACTAAGAGAAAAAGTAGGAAAATTAATTGTTACTCGAATGTTACTGTAATCATTGCGGCCTGGCATGTAAACGAGAGGTGACGTTACAAATTGAAAGAGATATTGAAGAGCATATATATATATATATATATATATATATATATATATATATATATATATATATATATATATATATATACATAAAGCTTGCATTATGACTGAAACATTAGGCAGTTTCTAAAAAAAAAGATGGAGTATTATTTCCAGCAGAGATTCGATCATCGATTCCTTTCTGAGCCAGTCACCTGGCTCTCATCCTAAAACGATATATAATTTTGTCCATATGTATGTGTATGTATCTGTATGTAGTAAAGGGATGTGTTAACAGATCAGACACCTATGCATGAACAAACGTACAAACAGACACACACACACATATATATATATATATATATATATATAAATATATATATATATATATATATATATATATTATATATATATATATATACATATATATATATATATATATATATATATATATATATATATATATATATATATATATATATATATATATATATAGAAAAAAATATACGGAAAAAACAAACAAAAAATCCTAATATGCAATTATGCTGTTTTAATGTTAATGTAATGTCAACGTCGGACGTTTCTGTCTAATAGACCATCTTCAGGATATATTCATAAAACATAATTAACATAGAACATATCCAATTCAACATGAAAAAGACGATGGACATAAGAGCAAGACCAATCCAAACAGATAACTGAAATCTTTTATAAGTTTTAAATATGATCACGTCGTCGTCACGTGGGCGAAGTTGTGAAAACATATTCCTAAAAATTGAGTATTTTGAATGAAAAATGAAAAGAATTTTATTTTGATCTAAAACTTATATGTACGTTTGTCGAGCATTAATCTTGCTAGAAAAGGGGACATATTAAAGAAGCCAGGTCTAGTGTTCACCGTGCGTGAGATAGATATTATGCCTGCTTCATCGCCCACGTCTTTTTTACTGTATGCACTTCGCAAGTGTTTCTTGTGTGTTCATTGCTCAGGGTTAAATTGTTTCAGTATTTTAGATATTCAGTAAATTTCCTATGGCCATAATACCTTTCAAATAGTATGGCATTATTCACAAGTCTAATAATCAAACAAATACTGGGATGAAGCGTCAGAGCTTGATTCAACTGCAAGTGCAAATGCATAAACGCCCCCCTCTCCTTCGCGTGTTTACTGTAAAGCTGGGATTAATGAGGGGTTCTTCGGGATTTTTCCCATTTAACGCTTCAATTATTCTTCTCAAACAATCTGTGCATTAAATTTTGTTCGAATGCCAATTTAGGATGGAATCATATGTAGAATCATATTTGGTAAATGGCAAAAGCCGATTTTGGACCTAGATTGTCGCAGATTTCGTCCACTTAAATAATCGAAACCAAACATTCATGAAAGACAATTTGTGTGTAATATATAATTTACATGGCAAATTTGGAAAGCACCAGATAAAAAATCAAGGAATTATGGCTGAAAAACTGGCTTTTTGAACAGTTATTCGTGTTTTTGTTATACTAAAACCAGACTATGTTTCTTGCATGATGCCAATTTTTTGCGACACGTTTGAAGAAAATCGGATGAAAATGAGGAAGTTATTCAAGTTTTTATATTAAATAGTACCAAAAACCGATTTTTTCACAGTTTTTTGCAATTTTTTGTGTGAAGCCAATGTCACACACCACATAAATCTCGTAATATGAGCTATTTTTTGCATTAAGTACAAAGAACAACGGCTCATCCTATAAAAGTTTTGTTCGTGTGTAATTTTGACTTGTTTTTTTGCAAAAAGTCGTACCCACCTTCAGTTTTATCAATCCTTCTGCCAAACCCGGGAGGCCTGGAGATTGAAAATTTCATCTTGACCTAAAGTAGTAAATTTGAAATACGTGTGTCTAATTTCATTGAAATCGATGTAAAAATGTGGACGTGCATAAATATTATACATACACAGACGAACACACAGACACACAGACAGACATCTTCTCTTATATATATATATATATATATATATATATATATATATATATATATTGATACAAAGTGGAAAAGCTTTTCATTGACAATGCGTTTCGCTTTCGTTAGGTAGACGTTTTCCGATCAGAATGAAAAACAAATGAGTCGTAAAGTGTATGAAGAGTATTCTTTGCATCGAAGCTTGGTGGGGCATTCACTGTAACTGATTCTCCAATGATTATTATAGCCATTCCACTTGCAGCCGGAGCCTAGATGAAATGCCCGGGAGGAGGGTTTGGATTTCTCCTGACCCATTTCCAATGGATAGTGGAACCCGAAAATTGGCACATTGATTGATTCTTCTTTCTACCATAGATTCCACCAAGATTTACACACTTTACCCTAACCTTGTGAAAACCTTTCTTGTCTAACTCTGCAGTTAAGCAAAATTAATTGTAACTAAAACCTGATTTCATGGATTAGTATGTAGAAGTGTCTACCTTTCAAATATCATTTAATGAAGAAAAAATGATGCCAGACCAAGAAGATTATAAGGAGCTTACGCAACAAACTTGTATACATGGGTGGAATACATGAACTGGGAGGCATACTAAATGGACAAATATTTTTAAAGCTAAAATGATAAGAAGATGTGGAGAGCCATGAACACCCAGTTCATATAAAAGAAAAGAATAAATCTTTGGATTGTGAGTCATAATTATAAAATCGTCGTCTTTTATAGGAGTCTAAAGCTACTGAAAGTGTTATACAGACATTAGTCACACGCAACCCAATATAATATTCATATGTACTCTTGTGAGTTACGCTATAACACCGACATATTTCTACAGGCGGGAAAGCTGACTGAACTAGTTACCTCAGCAGGAAATAAAACTAACCAATCTTGTAGTTTTATTTTATCTATTTGTGTTTTTATCGGAAGATCTCAAGATAACTTGAAGCCCGCTGGGAAATTTTGCAACCTATTTCAATGGAATTCACTGACGTTATATATATCAAGCAACACTAGCGTGGTTTGCAAATACAAGCTCGATAACTGATCTTTATTACATCTCTCAAGTCGAAATATTACGCGTCGTTTACTATATAAATTCGTGTGTTAGACGTGGTTTTCAGGACGTTTACAGTGTGTTCGTTTAACAGGCGTCTTGTTTTGTTTTTACTGCATATGTTCGTGTATCAGTCGAGTCTTTTCAAATGCTTACCACATATTTTCGTGAATCAGTCGAGTTAAACTTGTATAGAAATATGTATTGATTTTTAAAAATTCTTGTCGCATATGTTCGTGTATCAGTCGAGTTTTCTAAAACGCTTACACTATATTTTCATGTATCAGTTGGGTTTTTAAGACTTCTACTATATATGGCGATTTTCTAAGCGTAGCTTACATATGGCATATGGTCAAAAGTATGGAGCAACCAGTGAGGATCGAACTCAATACTCATTCGTAATTGTTCTAACCAGACAAGCTTGCTGACCTTTACACCACGTCGAGGTTCCCAGATCTCTACTACATATGCCTGTATATCAGTCAATGCTTTTTCCAATCATTGAAACCAAAATCTACATAAATATATACGTAATGTGCAATGAGATTTCTGTGAGTTTCTATGAGTCTCAGATTCCAAATCATCAGTTAGAAACAGAATGCATTCAGTTCAGCGAAAATCTAGTATATTTTTTGCTAAATATATCTACTCCACGGATGTGGCACAAAGACTATGGACGCAAAACGGAACTGACACGTCGAATTCAAATTGTGACCGGAGCTGTTTCGTTTACTTTGCACTACTAGCCTTGAAAACGGCATGAATCCATTTGAATTCAAAATCGTAGAGATGACAACTGAAAACCATTCTTTGGTAAGAAGTCACGGCAATACACATATAATAAGGAAAAAGAAGTCTGTGGAGAGTCTACGAGTTAAAGGAACATGGCATTTAACACCTACAACGACAATGCTGAAATAGAATCTGAGAGGACAAATAGCCCGCACATTGGAAATGTTCCCAAAGCTTCTAAAATTGCTGTTGATAGGTAAAATTCTGATTATGTATAAGATTAGCTATGTTGAACGCAACGAGACAGCTGATGGTGATCCCGAAAGCGGACTTTGCAGATTGTTTTAAAATGTGGAAGAAACGTTTGAATAAGTATAATTTGTACCCAGGCTGCAACAATAAAAGTTACCCTTTCGATTTTACGTACTCTTTGTGGTACAATGTCCATGACCTGAGATGAGAATAGCATCCACATTTAGTATATTTTCAAGACTTGTTGTCGTCTGTCTAAAATAAATCTCATGAAACTCTCATACAATTTTCCCTATATCCTAAAGCGAATCTCAATCAGCCTAAACGACTCTTCATTATTACAGTAATTATAACTAACACGCCGAAACCTATGGATTAAACATCACAAGTGCTGTTCTCGGAGAAGCAAAACTCTGAATCCAAATTATCCACTGCATTGACGAATGGAAAAATGCATGAAGCCATCAGTATTCCATAGTAGCCTCCTCTGGTGATTGAATGGAGAATCATACAGCTTCGACGTTGTATTATTTTATACCCTTCATCTGAATCTATCAACAACGGTGAGAAGGATATCTTGACTTATGGGTAGACTCCATAGCTCATACCTAGGCTTACATCGCTCTGCGCTACACCATCGTCTCCCGAGACGGTCGGATGACAACGTAAACGCAACGTAATTTCACCATTTTTTTTTTATTATTTATTTTCCTTTTAAATTCCACTTTTTTGTTTATCCCTTTCATCCACCTTTACTTTTCGGCGCCTATTTTTATTCGAGAAGTTATTTTGTGATTAGATTTCGAGGTTAACTCTTTCATGCTTAGTGAACTAACAGTCGATTCAGCAGAAGGTACGCTGATGGTTTTATTCAAAGGAAAGTCTCTCCTCTTGCTTTCCTTTCAAAGTTCACAATACAAATTGATGTTATTTGCTTTCGTATCCTTTTTGAAGTGTTTGATGGGTTTTTATTCCTTAATGTTAGAGTCGATGTCACATCCTCAGCCATAAGAGCTTCATTGAATTTACATTGGATAACTGATAAACGTATAATCTATCAATCAAACGATCAAACAGACAATCGATACATTGATCTATCGATCAACTCATCTGTCTGGAGACTGATCTAATTATCAATTTGGGGGCTTCATCCTTTTATTTAGATCTATTTATGTAAATCTGAGCATATCTATCTATTGATTTAGGCCCATATCTATCTATCTATCTATCTATCTATCTATCTATCTCTCTCTCTCTCTCTCTCTATATATATATATATATATATATATATATATATATATATATCATTCATTTTTCATAACCTTTGTTTTTTGTTTCTGTTGTAGCTTAAATTAAGTAATCGTCTTTGTTATTATAGTGTCTGCTTGTTTTAAGTTTCTACTCTTCACTTCCACTCTCCGGTCGACTAATCCTCTACCTTGAGTGGCTCTTGGGCCTGTTTGGTAGTGAATAATTGTATAATGTTTGTTTACTTATCTCATTCTGATCCCCTTCTACCTCTCTGTCTGTTTTCTCTCTCTCTCTCTCTCTCTCTCTCTCTCTCTCTCTCTCTCTCTCTCACTCACTCAATCAATGCCTTTCTTATTTTCTCATTCTGTCTCTTCTTCATATGTATCTATGTGTATATCGCGTCCTGGTCCTATCTACCGCTGTCTTCGTCGTTCTCAGTTTTGTTTATAACGGATAAGTTCATGCCCACCTCCTCTCTCTCTCTCTCTCTCTCTCTCTCTCTCTCCCTCTCTCTCTCTCTTTCTCTATCTATCTCTCTCTCTCTCTCTCTCTCTCTCTCTCTCTGTCGTTTTTTAGTTCATGTCTATTTAATTCTGATCCTATCAACCTCTCTGTCTTTCTCAGTTTGTTCACAACTTTTACTCTGTTCCTCTCCTCTCTCTCTCTCGCTCTCTCTCTCTCTCTCTCTCTCTCTCTCTCTCTCTGCTTTCTCTCTTATTCTCTTACTCTCTGTCTCTTCATATCTATCTATCTCTATATCGCACCCTGATCTTATCTACCTTTCTCTTCATCCTTCTCAGTTTTATTTGTAACTGGTAGTTTTCTCTCCCCCATATCTCTCTCTCCCTCTCCCCCCTCTCTCTCTCTCTCTCTCTCTCTCTCTCTCTTTCGGTCACTTTCTGACAGTTCATACCTGTTTATTTCATTGTGCTCTTATCTACCTCTCTATCTTTCTCACTTTGTTCTCTCATATTTGCATATACCTCATTGAGTTTACTTACAGTTTGATTTACAATGTGTTCCTAATTATTTATAATGCAGGCCTATCTGTGTAAATCTGTTCTGTTTCTCTTTAGCCGAACGCTACAAACGCGTGAAAACCTGTGACAATCTCATCGCCGTAAAAGACTGTTTCGCCTTTACTTCTCATACGGAACTGGAAAATCAGCATTCAAACTTATGACATTTTCTTGGAGACCGAACACAGAGGACGAGCGCTGATGAAACAGATGCAACTACCACAACCACAAAGCCGGTCTTTTTTTTTTTTTTGTCCATTGTAAAATGTTCTTATTGATTTCAGTTTCTGATATCGCATTGTTAGGGAAAAAATTTCAGACTTCTGGTCAACGCATAGCCTCAGATTGACCAGTTGGGAATGAACGGTAAGAATGTTATTGCTCCTGTTGAGACTAACGAGATTACATCATTATCATATCTCGTAAGAATGCTATCGTTCCTAGTGCAGCTGACGAGATATCTCGTAAGAATGTTATTGCTCCTGGTGAGCCTGACGCGATATCTCGCAAGAACATTATCATTATTCCGAATGCGATTGATCATTATTCCGAATGCGATTGACGAGATATCTCGTAAGAACGTCAGCCTGACGAGATATCTCACAAGAACATTATTAAGTGCGAGTGACGAGATATCTCGTAAGAATTTCATTGTTCCTAGTGGTGAGATATCTCTGAAATTTTATTGCTCCTGGATATCTGACCAGATATCTCACAAGAACATTATTATTCCGAGTGCGAGTGACGAGTTATCTCGTAAGAACGCTATTTTTCTTATTGAGGAAGACGAGAAATCTTGTAAGAAAGTTATTGCTCCTGGTGAGCCTGACGCGATATTTTGCAAGAACATTATTGTTTCGAGCAAAAACGTTATAGGTCTTGGTGCGACGAAAAGTATCGAATGGAAGAAAGTTGACCACTCATTCTATGTTTGCGTGTGTTTGCATCACCATAACATCGCTTTCATCCTTATAATTTCATTCTTATCCCTGAATTACTCTATCTATATTTTCATTAAAATTCTCCTTCTCTCTCGTTCTTTCTCTCTGTGTATCCGAAGGTGTGTATGTGTGTACGTGCGTGCTTATCTGCTGTCCCAGTATATATCGAATTTTTTTGTTCTATCAATGTTAATTAGCCTCCTACTAGTCAAATGCTACACCACAAGCGGTACAGTCTAATCTTAAACCATTCCAGTTTCCAGCTTTCAGTCAAATATTTTTTAAGATAAATAAACATTAGCATTGCTTTTTGTTTTCATATTCTATTGAAGTCTAACCAACACACGAAGGAACGCCTTTCAGGAGTATTTTGCGAGGTCCTGTGTACATACAAATTGCTTGTGTTCCTTGAAGAATACATGAAACCCTATAGATATGTGCTTGTATTAATTCTGCTTGTGTGTGAATGTATATGAGTGAGGGTTTATACTAAGAACATAAACTCTGTATTATCTGGATAGATGGCCATACGTATCAGAGGGTACTTGTCTACTAGGGCGGCTAGCCAATCCCTGAGGCAGAAGCCTGTTCAGGCATATTTGTGTTTGTGCAACACCCACAAAGCCCACCTGTGGTTTATACTGCAATTATGTTGAGCGGACTTTAGTTACAATTTCTGGGAGTGAGCGTGTTATCTAGCTTAATCAACTGTCTGAACAAGGCCAGAATGCTCAAACTCTTAGTGACGATGACTTGTGACTTCATGCTAGCACAAACCAGCGACGGCTACCAAAGGGTTCTGTCTACTAAAATTCATTCACAAGGCTTGGGTCAACTCGTGGTATGGTTTTCAGGCACTTTCTCAACGTGCCGTACACTGAGATCGCTACCTCCAAACTGATAACATCAAGAAAACACTTTCCTGACAAATTATATAACGATAAGCAATTCAACAAGTTGCTTGAAGAGTAGAATAAAAATGGAAAACCTGTTCAAAGTTGATCTTGAATTACAAAAGAACGAATAGATATTTAAATGCGTTTTATTTAATGATATTGTTAAGATGAAGGTCGCGAAGTTTTTGTGAAAGTTTTTAGATGGTTCAACTGTAGACGCAAGAAAAATGTAAAACTAAAAATGATAATTGGTAGCTACATCTTTATTCTTTTTACATCTTTACAGTGAGAACAAAATTACAGTTTTCCCCTGTCTGTCGACTATATCACCACGATTCGAACCCGCTCACGTTTCTCGAATCTTCAAGCCGATAGACGAATATAAATAAATATATTGTTAAATAAATAAACGGAGGTTTACTCAAAAGGAAAAAAAAATCTTTCCGATAAATAAACAAAAAATCCATTACTTCTTTTAAAAAAAATTTCTTTGTTTACGTTTGGATAGGAAGATATGAAAAAAAATTCGAGATTCTATGATGAGAAAAATTTCGTTTGAATTTTGCTTCAAATATCAGTCGGTTTAGATCTAAGGACGGTTCCTTCTGACCAGTAAGACGCAGGTTCTTAAATAAGATTTCTCGAATATTCAGACCGGTGGTCGAAAATAAATTAAAAATCTATTATTTCTTCCTAAAATTACTATATATATTATATTATATATATATATATATATATATATATATATATATATATATATATATATATATATATATATATAATGAGCATAAGCCACGTATACTTTCTTAATATGTATAATGTGCGTGTGTTTGAGCGTCTAGTAGCGATTTTTATTTGTCTGGTAATGTTCGTATGTTAATTTGGGGATATTTTGTGTGAGAATGAAAGAATTTAGTTTACATCTGTTGTGTTTGTAGGTAGACTATACAATCTAACCGTGCACCGTGAATTAGACATTAAGGACATCGTGCTTTACAGAGATGACGGGCTCATAGTAGTAAGGAGCTCCACAAATTTTAAAATAGATGAAATTAGAAAGATAATATATAGTGAATTCAGAAAACTAAACTTAAAAACTACAGTCAATACTAAATTAAAAAAAAGTAAACTTCCTCGACGTAACTCTAGAACATATGAACAACATATACCTACCTTACAGAAAACCTAACACTAATCCCTTGTATGTACACCCTAAGTCAAACCACCCTTAATCTATAATTAAGCATATACCCACATCAATAAGGAAAAGAATCAGCATGAACTCCGCTAATAAGGAAATATTCCAACAACACAGTAATTTTTATAACACAACCCTGAAAAATAGCGGATACTAAAACGCTAACATAAATTATAGAAACAATAGTACTAACGAGAAGAAAAACAAGAAAAGAAAAATCATTTGGTATACCCCTCCGTTCAACCAAATGGTTAGTATTAAGCTAAGACATAATTCCCTAGCTTTAATTGAAAAACACTTTTCTACTAATAGCAGACTTAGCAAGATCTTTAATAAAAACATCTTAAAATTAAGTTACAGTTGCACTGAAAATCTAGAAATAATCATAAAAAAACATAATAATAAAATCCTAGAAAAACACACATCCCAAAACAGTATTAATAAAAATCCTAAACTAAAATCAGACAAAAATAATGAAAAATTATGTGATTGAAGAAACCCTGAAGACTGCCCGTTGGAAAATAAATGCCGTACAAAATCTATGGTATATCAATGGACTATCTCATCCATTGAGAGTCCTAACACTGATAGGATATACATTGGTGCAACGAAGAATGAATTTAAAATTAGATGGAGACAACACAAAAGCTCCTTCAATAATATTAGAAATATAAATCAGACATCTCTATCCAAATATTTTGGGCATTTAAGAGAAACGAATAAAACACCAAAAGTGAAATGGAAAATAATAAATAGAACAAGAACTTGTAAAACCTGGGATGACCCATGACCTTTATGCCTACATGAAAAACTACACATTATTAAGTTTCTAAATAATGAAAATTTATTAAACCATAGACATGAATTAACGGTTTTCTGCCGACATCAACACATTTTCGCATTAAATTATCAACATTAAAAAAAAAATTAATTTTCATAGTCTAATAAAAGGTTTAAAAGCTTAACCGAATCGCAAGATAGAAAAACCCTTTATGAAGTCGTCAAAAAAAATTGTAGTTCAGTGCGACGCGTTTAAGTACGAAACGGCCCTTTAGAAAAATAAATAAATAAATAAAAGCATAAATAAATAAAATAAAACAAAATTCTCTAGACACTTAACGACATACTATGGTGACAGAAGTAATCTTTCGCTGTGACTGACCAGACGATGTGCGCGCATGAATGCCATCATTCGCTTTGAAATGGATGCCCCCACCCTATCTCAGCTTGACCTCTTTCCGAAGGTGACTGATATATGGATAAAAATTATCTCTTAGACTCCTTACCAAAATGGTCGCTCCAACCGTTTCCATAATAATTAATTTTGCGAATGAATATGCTTATAAAGATGTGTAAATTTCAGGATTGGTTATTCCTAAATTTTCGCTTGAGGATGAAACAGGGCTTGATACTTTAACTCAATTTAATTTTAATAATTATATTGAGGTTTTCGGCTCTCGTTTTTGAAACATAAGAACTCTTATGTAACGAAGGAATCATATTTTTTTTAAATAATCAATATTTATATATATATATATATACGCCCCCGAAAAATTTAATTCCGGTCGAGCACTCTTGAGAGAAATCGCGAATTTGTAAACAATAACTACTACTGCTAATACTATTTAATCTCTTCTATGAATTCGAGCCATCTCTGCCATTTGCGCATTTATTCGAAGAATAAGTACGTAAAAATCCGCCTCCCTCTTTACCGGGCTGATAGCTTAAGGGTAAAATCTCCGACCGATGACAAAATCAGTCTGGTTTCGATCCTGGCTTGAGGCAATTGGATGTCTTGCCACACTGATAAGCTATGATACAGCGAAACATTGTCTGTGGATGACAATATATATATATATATATATATATATATATATAATATATATTGTGAACTGTTGGACATTATACAATTATACATTAAGTCAAGCCTAGGAACA